GGACTTTTTTTTTCAAAGAAACTAGTTTACCTGATACACCGCTTTCTCCAGTAATTGAAAGAGCGCAAAGATAATAATCATGATCATGTGCAGTCAATCGCCCATACCCTACAATATAACATTGATTCATATTGACTAGGCTAATCAATATTTTTACATTTTAGTCATTTAGCAGACGCGACTTGCAGTTAGTGAGTGCACACATTTTTCATACTGGCTTTTCGTGGGAATCTAACCCACAACCCTGGTGTTGCAAGCACCATGCTCTACCAACTGAGCTACAGAATCAGCGACAATGTAAGTAAGCCTAAAATGATCGATGTTGAAATCAGTATTTTAATAACTTACCAATTATGCGGATGTCTTACCCCCTAAATCACCTCTCTCTGCGATGGCCTAACTTTTACAAAACACTTTTCTACATCAAATTGTAAAAGAACGCTACAAACCTCAGAATCATTTTTCTTCGACCGATAGTGTCCATTTCTTTCTCTATTTCCTTATAAATGTACTTCCTATTTCAACACAGTGGGCGGGTTCACCACGTATAGGTTTATAGTATATATTTATGTAATGTAAAGTCTTCATACACTTAATGCAAGTATTCAGCCCTTATCTAGTAAAAGTGGATTTTTATTTCAGGATTTGATTTAGTGATGTTTTGCAGGTGTTACCAAGAGAGGGCCCTGTGACAACACCCAGGTTTGGCAGAAGGACGCTAGACGGTCATATCTGTGTGGTAACATGATAGGATGGGTAACCAATGATATACAATGATTCTGCAAACCCCCCAAAATTATTTATTGTAATGTATAGCATATGAATTTAAAAATGGACTATTTATAATATGAAGTTACATTGAATTAATCACACTTATCAAAGACACATTCACACACAGAGATCGACCGAAACACATTCACAGAAACACACACACATAAATGCATTCCATTCCTTTTAATTTCATTTATTGAAAATGTAATTGACAGTGATACTGCACATCATTCAACATTTCTGTGAATGTGCCAGATTTAGCCAGCTAGCTAGTTTTCAACTGTAGTCCCTGGGCAGGTAGATAAACATTTTAATAAATACTAAATACATATTTTTGCCCTAGCACCAACACATCTGATTCTACTAATCAAAGGCTTGATGATAATTAGTTCATTAGTTGAATCAAGTGTGTTACTACTAGGGCAAAAACAACTAATGTGATCCTTAGGGATCCCAGAGGAGAGGTTGGAATACACTGACCTAGAATAATGTGATCCTTAGGGATCCCAGAGGAGAGGTTGGAATACACTGACCTAGAGTAATGTGATCCTTAGGGATCCCAGAGGAGAGGTTGGAATACACTGACCTAGAGTAATGTGATCCTTAGGGATCCCAGAGGAGAGGTTGGAATACACTGACCTAGAGTAATGTGATACAAATTAAGTCAGTATTTATTAATTATCTCACCAATTCTCTCTCACTCTCACACACACACACACACACACACACACACACACACACACACACACACACACACACACACACACACACACACTAAAGCATATACACAAACACAGACACACACAGAGAGATTAACACACCACAGGATAATAAACACTATATTTACCTTTTACTAAAAATATCATTAAGGTCTATATTTTCATAGTGACTTTGTACATGGTTGGAGTCACTTCCATTTGAATTCCGTCCGTCCGTCCGTCCGTCCGTCCGAATTCTCACACCCAGGGGCCATTTAAATCAAATTAAATTGTATTGGTCGCATACACATATTTAGCAGATGTTATTGTGGGTGTAGTGAAATGCTTGTGTTCCTAGCTCAAACAGTGCAGTAGTATCTAACAATACACAACAATACACACACATCTAAAAGTAGAAGAATGGAATTAAGAAATATAGAAGGACGGACGGATGGACGTATTTCTATATTTCTTAATTCCATTCTTTTACTTTTAGATGTGTGTGTATTGTTGTGTATTGTTAGATACTACTGCACTGTTGGAGCTAGGAACACAAGCATTTCACTACACCCACAATAACATCTGCTAAATATGTGTATGAGACCAATAACATTTGATTTGATTTAAATGGCCCCTGGGTGTGAGAATTCGGACGGACGGACGGACGGACGGACGAACGGACACCTTCCCGCAAACTTTAGACCATGCGTATTCACAGTTTCTAGTGGTTTAAGTCTTGCACATTAAGAAGGCAAAAGTAGCCTAGTAGCTTTGTGCAGATGAGGAATATATGACGAGACTCTTATTCACAACAAAAGAACAGGTAGGTCTTGCTAAATATAACAACAAGATGCAATCATTTCCTGTTAGTGAAAGAGCGAAAATCGATCTATCTTTACATTCTAAAATAATTAGAAATAGGCATATATTTCCTGTTTTTATTTCATTTCCATGATCATTACATAATAAAGCCTATACTCGCCAAATATCCTATAGGCCTATAACAAGTTCGGATTGGCTACCATTCGTCCCATCTCTCATTTAATAGGACCCACTTCACAGTAGTAAATAGATCAGCTACAGTATTTCCAGCAGCCTATTTTGCTCTATGCGATCCGATCCGAAGCGCAGTTTAACGTTAGAACAGACGATTCACCTTTTCCCTTGACGTTTGTAGGCTAAGCCTGAATACTGAAACGTGACATTTCTTGCGTAGACAATATTTTCAATTATAAACATAATACATTATCATAATAATTGCATAATAAATTCCTCACCTTTTCTGGCCATGATGAGTTCATATTCCCGATGTAGCCATACAACAAATGACCATGCGCATTTCTCATTTAATTGGGCCTATTAGAGAGGCTATTATTTAAAGTGTTTGCTCTATGCAGATGACAGGGTGTGCGGCGCGGTTTATAACATACAGCAGAATGGAACAGGTGAACAGACAGCTGATCTTTTGTATTGAAGTGTGTAGGCTACCAATAAACTGTAGTTTATTTTAATTTTTTCGAGTAGACAATGTTTCCGAATTCGTGGGCAGGGCAGCATATTTAGTTTCGGGAAAAAGTGAATGCAAAACATTATTGCATTCCAACGGTCTGTTTACAGGTCCACAACTATTTGCTAGTGTTTTTGTCTTTCAGAAACGGTCAGATAGACCGACAGCAAATGTCACTGTAAAATAAAACATTCTGCCAACACCTCCAAAGACATTTGAAGTTCGCCATGGATATTTCCTTTAGATATACTGTCTGGGCCTAATTCCAATCCTTCCAAGTATCCAGAAAATAAGGGCGTTATTGTCACCAGACCAGTCGCCAGACCTCAGTCTTAAGGGGGGCATATGAAATGCATGGGAGGGCAGGGCACAATTATCATTAGCCTACAGTACGTATATTTAATAATAAATTCCCTAAAGTGGGGGGGGGGGGGGCACAAGCATTTTTGGGGGCGGGCCCGGCCCCCTATGGCCCGCCCATAGCGACGGGTGTGATTGTCACCATAAAAGATTGATGATGAGTGTATTTCATAACGCTAGTTCATGCAGGCACCGTTTTACAACAGGTCTGATTTATAACTGCAAACATGAATTCGCCAAGTTTATACATCTCAATGCTTTTGTGCACATTTATCAATTTATAAATATTGTGTAGAAACTATCCTAAAATACTACTTATAAACGCAATTGTGGTCAAAATATATAGCCTGTCAAGACATGTTACATGAATTCACAATGTCAATATAATTACATAAAATAATGTCATTATTACTCTCACAATAAAACACATTTTCAACATACAGTATATTTTCCCCGTTCTACGCTGACAAGCAGTTCCCTTATTCCACCACTGGCACTGACGTGGTCATT